ACACAAACACACATATACATGTACCACCAAGGGCCTCATTCTCCAAAGACTGCATACACACACACAAACACAAACACACATATGCATGTATCATCAAGGGGCTCATTCCCAAAAGACTGCATATCAAAGCCAAAAATACTTCCCTATAACTATTTTGGAAGAAAAGGCCCAGACTTGCTTTGAGGGTTGAGAACTCACTTTCTTGATGACTGCCTTCTGCTGCCAGCCTCCTCCTTGCTCAGAAAGTGAATTCGAAGTCAGAGAGAAAATTAGGACAGAATCATAGAAAAGAAATAGTCTTTGTGTCAGAAATTTTTCAATAGGCCCTTCTTCCAGCAAATCCCACTCCAGTTCCAATTTATGCTCATTATTACTTTAAACTAAATGCATCATTTAACTTTTATATCATCTTGATTTTATGTATTTTTCTATTCCGATTGGATTTTTTAAACCAAAAGGGCAGCCCCCAGGACATTTTCTTGTGTTTGGAATCTTCATTTGTCTCCATGTGGGAGAGAACCTTCTCTAGATTAGAAATCCTTCCAGGCATGCTGAGTGGCAGGTTGAACTCATCATAAGAGTAGAGATTGAGGACATTAAATCTTCTAGTCCCAAATCAGTGGTAGACTGATAAACAGTTAACAGTTGTCTCTCTGGGGGAAAGCCCTGGTTCTCGGCATTCACGAGTTACCATGGTGTAAATACTCCCTTTGTGGCCGATCTCGAGCTACCAGTGAGACATCCCCGAAGCCAGAGTTGGGAAGAAACATGAATGGTTGGCTCTCAGGACACGGCACGAGTGAGTGGGCTTTGGTACCTGCCGGTCCCAACACCTTGTGTCACCTGGGGACCCTTGGGAGAGTTGTAAACTGCCACTCAATCTGGGAGGGATGGAAATGCATGTTCTGGAATGGTGGTGGGGGCAGCTTTTAGTTACTGCTCAGAACGGGTCTCCAGGTCTTTGGAGAACAGTCATTTAAAAAGCAAAGCCTGTGATCATGATCCGGGAAAAGAGGGAGATGGACTTCATCCATCCCTTTGGCCTCTGCTGGCCTGTGTCAGGAATGTCCCCTTAGTGCCACTTCCCACTGAGGTGAGAGTAGACAAAACCTGGGCTGACTAGAGGAACTCTGTGGAAAGTAGGGCCATGTGGGCAGGTTTCTCCCCGCAAAGCAATTAAGACTCTTGTTTCTCCTTATCTCCATCTCTCCTTCCATGCCCGACCCTTCTTGGTGCCCCCTCCTTGCTCTCCTCCCCTGCCCCTCCTCTCACTCTCGCCAGAGAGTTTTCCAAAGAGAGGGAGAAGGCCAAGGCCCGGGGAGATTTCCAGAAGCTGCGGGAGAAGCAACAGCTGGAAGAGGATCTCAAAGGCTACCTGGACTGGATCACTCAGGCCGAAGACATTGACCCGGAGAACGAGGACGAAGGCATGGATGAGGAGAAGCCCCGAAACAGTGAGCAGCCATCTTCTTCTGTGTTTGGGCTGGGTTCTGGGGGAGAGGAGACAGCACAAAACCTTGACTGTCACTGTTTCTTGGCAGCCCCAGGTGTGCCTTCCTGGAAAAGCACTTACCTCACTGATGGCAGTCACTTGCTACACACAGACATCAGTCACATGTGGGAGATCACAGCTGTCGATCTGTAAAACCTCATGCTCCTTTTAGAATATTTCACCTTAAAAGACAGTTGAGATTTTGCTAAAGCAGAGGCTTTTTAAAAATCAGAGATCCTTCTCCTCCAGGTTCTCCCTCTTTGGGCAGGGGCACAGGCTTCCTGTTTGAAAGTACAGGCTTGTTTTAAAGGAACCATGTCTGAAAAACTTCATACCTGCTCAGGATTCCTTCCCCGCTTGCAGAAAATTTCCAGGCACCGCTGGGCTTTTTCATAGGAAAGGTAGTCGAAGGTTTTCCTTAAAGGGGTTAGATCCAAAGACCTGTGGAAGTGCTAAACGGGAGGGGTGGGAGAAGCCCAGAGGAAACACAATTAGGTGATGGAAATCGAGACAGTGCCTTCCTCGGGGGTTCACATGGCCCATTGTTAGGTAGGCTGTTGCTGGGATGGAAATGAGAGTAATGTATGACGTTGACTCACAAATACAACATGATGGATCATGGAAATTCAGGCTCTTATCAGATTAGCCCCGTGGTTCTCAAAGTGTGGCCCCTGGCCAGCAGCATCAGCATTACCTGGAAACTTGGTAGTAATGCAAACTCTTGGGCCCCACTCCAGACCTCCTGACCCAGAAACTCTGGGGATGGGACCCAGGAATCTGTGCTTTGACAACTCACCAGGTGATCAAGATGCATGGTAAATTTGAGGACCTTTGGGTTAGCTCTAACCACTCTGTGTATCCCGTTTGGCCTTGATCTCTGTGACTGTAACCACACTCTTTCTTCCCTTTTCTGAGTGCAGTATTTTTCTCTTTCAGTATACATGTGTGAGTAGGTGCATTTCTGTCCTCTCAAGGAGCCTTACTTAAAAACAGTTTCCTAAACACTGAGCATCTAGAGTAGTCCAGGAAGCAAACAGGTTAAAGAGCCATCCAGGGCACCACATGGAGTCATGCCAGTAAAGGCAGGGAGCCGGAACTTCACCCTGAGCAGAGAGGACAGTGAGAAGAGCCACCAGGAGAAGGAACAGGTACAGGAAAAAGGGATGAACACAGCCAAAGGTGTTCACAGGAGCAGAATCTCTGCTCTCTCATTTCAAATTTAGATTTAATAAATCTATCAACTGCTCCCTTTCTGATAATGCTCCTCAAGGAGCAAATACAAAATTAAAGCACACAAACAACAAGGGACTGGTAACAATATAATTTAGTAACCTAAGAGGCCTTTGTGCTCTACTAAGTGGTTTTGCAAGTTGGAAGACAGGGCCTTTGATGGATTATAACAATGAGTGATGATGCCGTTGAGGGTCTTCCTGGAAGAATGCCTGACAGCTTCCATTACACTGTTGATGGAACTGAGGAGTCATTGATTAGTTTGTGGCACTGAGTGGTATGGTAAATAAATAAGGTGGCCTGTGAGCCACGGAGAAGCATACCTCTAAAATGCAGGTATTTGTATCCTGGCTCCTGGCTCCACTCTAAGTCAGAGCATTGCCCCTAGCTTGTGACTAATGGTGATGAGCATTTCTGTAGCATGTGTTATTAAAATCCAGCAGTAGCCACTACCTGCTCAGCAGCCAGTAGCTATCCACTGAGATAAGAGAACATAGCTATTCTGTTCTTTGCCTAAAGCAGGAACTTCCAAGTGGAGGGGTGGGGGTGTGCTACTTCTCCATCTTACCCATTAAATGAATAAATTCCTAGGAGAGTTCCTAGCATGGAGTATTCTTTGCTGCTGGAGCACACCACATTGACAAGGCCCACCTACCCAAATTTCTGGACAAACTTTGAGAAGGGCATAATGAGCTGCCTACCCCAATAGACAGAGTCTCTGCCAAGATTTTCCTAAGCCTAGATAAGGATAGCCTTAGACCCTGGAGACTGTGGTTTCTCTCACTTTGCACTGTTCACTTATAGCTGGAGGAGCCCTGGGGGTCTGTTTCTTGTTCTAGGAGGACTGGAATGGGAGCCTAGCTCCTTCATTAGTGGAAATGCTAATTCATGGGACAGTTCCAGGGGATGAGGCAGGGGAATGAATATTTTAAAAAGCAAGGTGTAGAGAGTTAGATAGATGCGTGCAATGAAGTGGAACATGAGAGACAGGAATGGAGCCAGGAAGAGAGTCCAAAGGACTGAGTCTGCTGTGGAAGTCCAATTAAAAGTAGAGATGATGTGATGAAATGATTAAGGAATCAGAGGCCTAATACACTTGCAAAAAAGGCAAGACAGTGAGTGGTTCAGAAACTAGCTTCCTGTCTTGAGAATTTCATACATTGCCCTTTGAAACAAATACAGGAGAAATCCTGCTGTTTGAAGCATATGTGTTTCAATTACTATAATATCGTAGCCTTTGAAATTTCAGAAAGATTACAGTATGGTCTGTTTGCCAACTGTCTTCAGCTCAAAAGCTAAGTGATCTTTTAAGAGAAAAAAGGCTAATCACTCGCGATCAGCGTCTGTGGTGACTCTGCTTCCCCACGAGGCAGCGTCTGGATGCCTGTGGTGTGGGGCTGGGGAGGTGGGGCTGGGTGCAGTTCAGGAGCTGCTTGGTGGCACCCAGCATACCTGAGGGGAGCCCAGTGATTCCATTTTCGTAGGGAAAGCTGCAAAAGCCACCAAGGATGTAGAAGAAATGGGCTGGAAGGACAACAGAAAGAAAGCTGCAGTTGGGAGGCATTTCTCTAAATATGAGTGTAAGTGAAGTAGCCAGTAAGTCATATACAAAAATAAGTTCCAGTTCATTCATTCATCAGTCCACCCATTCACAAACAAGAGGTCTGCTCTCTGCCAGGCACTGTCATAGACGCTGGTGATAGAGCAGTGAACAAGAGAGTCAAAACTCCCTGCCCTCATGGAACTTAGATTCTAGTAGAGAGACCTATGGTAAATTAATTAGCAGGCCAGAGAGGGACGAAGCAGTGAAGGGGGAAGAGTGTTGAGAAGTTTGTGATTTTAGAGGCTGCAGCAAAGGAATGTCTCACAGAGAAGGCAGCATTGAAATAAAGACTTGGAGGCTGGAAGGAAAGGCACCATGCAGATAGTTGGAAAAAGAGCCTTCCAGGGGCTAGCAAGAAGGGGCCCACACTGATGAGTCCGGAGCAGAGGAGGCTTGTACAGCCGGAGAGGAAGGAGTAAGGGGGTGAGTGGTGTGATGTAAGGCTGTAGGACCCAGAGAGTAGGGTATATAAACTGTTGTCAGAAAACTTGGCTCTTACTGGGACTGAGCCAAATAGCCTCTGGGGGTTTTGAGCAGAAAATCAACATGATCTGACAGTAATCAAGGTCCGTCTGCCTGCCACGTGCAGAATGGAGTGAAGGTGGGCCAGGGAGAGGCAGGAGTTCCGTTGCATGCTGCCGCCTCAGGAGATGTTGGGCCTGGTCTTGACACCCATGGAGGTGATAAGGTCAGGTTTCAGGATGATGTCATTTGCAGACACATCAGATATGGGATGTGAGAGATAGAGGTCGGGCATTTTCCAAGGCAATTGTCCTAAATGATGCCAAGAGTGGAATTGTCATTTATGGATATGGGGAAGTCTGTGAGAGGAACAGGTGTCAAGGCAGGAGGATCAGGAAAGCCATGTCGGACCTTTAAGTTTGAAGTGCCTATTAGACATCCAGCTGGGGCTGTTGAGTAGCTAATAAGAAATGAACCTCTCCAGGGGAGAGATCTGTGGCTGAACTGTAATTTGGGGAGTCAACAGCATATAGAAGATACCTAACTCCTGGATCTCTGGATGAGCTCACTGGGGTGTGAGTGTAGACAGAAGTGAGATGTGGCCCAAGAACTCAGTCCCAGCCCTACTGATGTTTGAAGATTGGGATAAAGGAAAAGAGCCAGCAAAGGAGACTCCAAAAGGTATGGCCAGAGAGACAGGATGGAATGCAAAGGTAGGGGGGTGAGTGTCGCTTCTATGACTGGAGACTGACCATTGCACTCCGCAACGTGGGGCTCACTTGCTGGTGCCTTGACACAGGCTGTTGGATGAAATGCTGGGGGAAAATCTTCCTGGAAAATCAGCCTTACTCTGTGCGCCTCTCGAGCCTGCATGCCTCCTGCAATGGCATGGAGCATTGCTCTGCAGACTGCTTGCTTCTTTGGCATGGCCCACCTTCCAGCTGTCTGAAGAGTTTGGCCATCAGGAAACCAGAAAGGGAGGAGGAGGAGACTCACACAGACTCTAGCATACCCATAGCCTCAAGACGGTCAGTGTCTAAAGCTTAGCCCATCATGATATGATGTTCCCTTCTATACCAGTGCCAGTACTAGCCACAGCCTCTGCAACTGGTTACAGACAGCCTGAGAAAAAAGAGGACACGATATTCAAGAGCCATTTCAGAACCAAAAAGAGGCAAAAAAGGGGCATGTTTACACACTGGTACCCTGGATGCAGCTTCCTAAATGGAGCAGCCAAGAGCCAAGCACCTTCTCTCTCTGGATAAAGACTAGGATAATGTTGAGGTCTCCCCCGCCTAGTGACTGCTTCTTCCCTCCCTCTGAGCAGCAATGAGCAGCCCCTGTGAAGGGACCCATTGCAAAACCATCATTACTGCACGGGGTTTATTGTCATCAGCAGGGATGCACTGCTCCAAGGCACAGGGTTCATCTTCCAGCTCCAGTGTTAAATCTAATAGAAGGCCAGACACTAGAGGGAGACGCCGTAAAGAAAAGAGACAGATTTTCTTCTTCCTTTTTCCTCTTCAAGATCAAAAAACGTTTCATTTATTTATTTATGGATATTTATTAAATATCCATCCTTATAGGAATCTCTCTCTCATGTCATTAGCACAACTTGAATGCAGCCCTGGCTCTCCAAAGCTTGCAGTCTAAGACAGATATTGATGTGGAAAACCATATAAAAGACAGACAGACGGTGGAACCAAAACATTGAATTTCCACACAGATAAGCCGGATAAATATCTACCCCATGGCATTGAGTTATGTGACTCGGGAGCCACTTTTGCAGTCATCACCAACTAGCAGAGCCACGTGCCGGCTGCCTGCCCCACAGAGTCTAGGATCATGTATTATTGAGACAGGAAATTGGAAGGCTTGTAAGAACTGCAGGTTGCCCATGAAAGGGCCCCATGTGGCTTGAGAGGAGCAACCTGAAT